AACAAACTTGTAATGATATTAAGGCACTTGTTTACTTAATGAAATTTAAACAAACAAGCTTGTATTGATATTAGAGCTCTTGTTTATATAATGAAACTGGAGCAACATTAGATATCACTGATATTCAGTTCCTTGTTTACTTAACGAAATGTAAACAAATAAGTTTCAATTATATTGAATTTTTTGTTTACTTCATAGAGAATTGATACATGGAAATTTTGGTTGCTTTTACAGGCCTATGGTCTGCTTTTTTTTTATGATTGTAACACCAGGAAAGTCCAAAAAAAAACAAAATAATAATAATAATAATCTACCCTCACCATGCCTGGGTACGAAGAAAGCATACAGAGAAATAGAGATGGGGAATGTTGTGACTTGTCAGATGTGAAGGGATAATAAGACATTCTGTGTGTATTTAGATTTTTTTTCCTTTTGGTACGAGACGTATTCATTTAAATTTATTTTTCATTTTTATTATTTTCAGATCTCACGCCTGAGGAGCAACAGCTCCTGCTTGATATCCGAAGGAAAAAGGCTCAACTGCTTCAGGAAATACAGGTGAGTCTTGGCTGAGAATTTTTTTTCTCGGATAAACTCGAGTAGACACATCTAATTGCTGTCAAATTGAGAGGGCACTCCTGATGATTGGGCAACTGGAAATAACTTAACCTAACCTAATTTAACCTAACTTAACCTAGCCTAACTTAATCTAATCTAACCTAATTTAACCTAGCCTAACTTAACCTAACCTAATTTAACCTAACTTAACTTAGCCTACCCTAACTTAACCTAACTTAACCTAATCTAATCTAATTTAACCTAACCTAATTTAACCTAACCTAACCTAACTTAAGGTGCTCTATCTCCATTTGCTTTAATTATGAGATGCTTGATCTCCAGTTGGGTAATTGTGAGGAGTGTATTCTCCAGTTGAGGGTGCTCAAGGTGCCTCTTCTCCAGTTGGTCCTTTTTTCCACATTGTTCATAAATTTGCGAGACGAGGTGGAAAGATTCAAAGAAGCTGATATGAAAGAGAAAGGCCTGGATACCAACATGACAGGCTGGAGGCGGTTCTTGAAAGCAGCGACCCTATATAAGAATAGAAAAAATTACGAGGAAGATAAAGATATTGTAAAGATGAGGAACCCCCAGAATGTAGGAAAAAAAAAAATTGAAAATGGAAGCAATTTGGTAACCCTCTCTCGGTACTTATTACTCGGCTCGTTTCTAAACATGAGTCGCATCTACAATTTTTTTTTTACCAAATTTAGTCATATTTTATTAAATGGGGTCCTTTTGTTAAATAATGAAAAAATTACTTTATCGTGTCTATAATTACTAATTCGCTGAGCTTATGATAATATTAGTATGTTATTCAAGCTTACCAGGATGTCATACCCAAATTTTTTATTTGTATTTATATATATATATATATATATATATATATATATATATATATATATATATATATATATATATATATATATATATATATATATATATATATATATTATTAATAAGAATAATATTATCTTACATTTCTTAACTCGAGTCAAATACGTACTTGAACGCAATATGAAATAGTCTGCCATTTATTAATGCACGTTTTCATTTTCTTTTAATTACAAGTTTAGAAAACGGGTCGTGTAAATGGGTGACTAAGATATATAATATATATATATATATATATATATATATATATATATATATATATATATATATATATATATATATATATATATATATATATATATATATAGATAGATAGATAGATAGATAGATAGATAGATAAATAACTAGATAGAGTAGATCTTGTACAATCTAGACCTTTTTTGAAAGGTTGTGGGTGTTATTAACTTACATTTCCCAGTAATTTTTTATACTTTTGAAAGATTACGTAATGGTTTTGGTTAAAACAACTTGATAGTAATAATAATAATAATAATAACAATAATAATAATAATAATAATAACAATAATAACTAATAAATACGTATAATTTTCGAATGACACCCTGATAATAACAATTCATCATGTGTACGTTTGTGTATTCATAACTTGTTTATTATTCGTTATTGAGTGAAAAAATGTGGTGTTTGGTAGGGAAAACAGCTCTAAATAAGGAAACTAACTTATTGACTGTTATCTCGTGTTATCGTTTCCCGTTTTGTACAGGACAAATAACATTTAAAGCTTTACTCTTTGATGTCTGCTTGGATACAAGGGAATTATGAAGATTTTTATATATTTATTTCTGGTGAAAAGAAATTGTAATGAAAATGTATTTCACAGAAACAATGTGTGTGTGTGTGTGTGTGTGTGTGTGTGTGTGTGTGTGTGTGTGTGTGTGTGTGTGTGTGTGTTTATTTTCGGACATTGCAATGTATATATGGCCGTCGTTGGCGTGTTGGTAAAGTACGCAACTCTGATTCCTCATGTCGTCGGCTCGAGACCCGCCACGGTCTGAGGTAAGAGAGGGCATTCACTCAGGGTAGCGGCCGCACTTTCCAAAACCAAAGTCTATCGGATGAAGGCAGCGTCCTAGCCCTTGATAGACAAGGGAGTCTGTGACGTTAAACCGAATCATCATCATTCACCCGATTTCTTAAACAGTGTAAACCTAGGATACCATATTGTTAGTTAGCTAGACACACACAAATGGATTTCATAAACGCATCTGACTCGGTTCTGTGTATGGCTAGGATCCCGCAAGGATCCTAGGCCCGATTTCTTAAACAGTGTAATCCTAGGATACCATATTGTTAGTTAGCTAGACACACACACAAATGGTTTTCATAAACGCATCTGACGAGGTTCTTTGTATGGCTAGGATTCCCCCATGGGGGGATCCTAGCCATACACAGAACCGTGGCAGATGCGTTTATGAAATCCATTTGTGTGTGTCTAGCTAACTAACAATATGGTATCCTACGTTTACACTGTTTAAGAAATGGGGGGATCCTAGCCATACACAAAACCGCATCAGATGCGTTTATGAAAGCCATTTGTGTGTGTCTAGCTAACTAACAATATGGTATCCTAGGTTTACACTGTTTAAGAAATCGGGCCATCATCATCATCTTCACATTATATAAATAAATTTGTTTTAGAGACGTCACATTATGTATCAGAAGTTACCACCCTTTCCTGTCACTGATAACACGTTTTTTTTTTATTTAAAACACAAAAACAGGTTGTTATTGTACTTGGAACTAGGAATAGTTACCTATAGACATTGTTAAGTTGAACGTCCTAATATTCTGTGAGGATGATAACGTCTGAATCGGTAAGCAATTACTATATATATATATATATATATATATATATATATATATATATATATATATATATATATATATATATATATATATATAATATTTTTTTTTTTACTGTGATTTCATTTCTCGCCGAAGATAGTTTATTAACTTACAGATGCGTATTCCAAGATAATAGAGCTAATGATATGCTGAATAAGAGGCAGGAAAAGATGAAAAAGGGCTAGCAAGAAACAGCGACCCCATATAGAAATGGGTTAAATAGCAATGCCTATTCCGAGGTAATAGATCGAATGATATGCGGTATAAGGGACTAAGGAAACAATATACACGAGGCAGGAAAAGGTGAAAAAAGGCTAGCAAGAAACAGCGACCCCATATAAAACATTTTTTAAACATAAAGATGAAAAAGGTTTAAAAATAGTCTTTCTTGAAACTAGTTTTCCATATATCAATGAAACACTCTGCATTTATACTGATGGGGCCCACATGTTCAATTGAGGAGGGTGTGGGTGTAGTAATATATTTTGTGACAATTTTGAAGGGCAGCAAATAATTGACAAAGCAGTGAGAACATGACAAAGTGGTCATCAATCACTGAGTGTGAAATTGTTGGATTTAAGCTTGCTATTGAACATGTTCTCAGTGCTAGGAAAAAATGCTATCATATTCTGTGACTCGCAGCGCGCCCTTTTGTCTCTGAAAAGCTCCTACAGAACTCACATGACAACAATTTAGGAAGCCCTTATTAACTATGCGAACGCCTCGTCCAGGCAAGAGAGTTTGAGCTGTTTACTGGAGAGGTTACTGCTATGGCTAGGCACCACAGTGGTGGTTGGGGTCTTTGTCGGCTGGCGACCACCCTATGGGTCATCCATGACCCGTTCCGCCCATCCGTGGTTGGAGAATCTAAAAAAAAAAAAACATTACTTTTAACCTCCAAGTTAAGTTTTCATGGGACCCCCCCCCCCATGTTGGGATAATAGGTAATGAAAAGGCACATATAAAGATCATGATACTATTGCATATTGTAAAGCAATTTTAGTGTATATATGAGTGTAATAATGACCCTTAAGCGGATCTGGGAGTGCCCATTGGCACACATCCCCATGTAATGTTTTGTTTAGATCCAAATAAAAATATAAAAAAAAATAAGTTTTTCTTTGCTTTGTGTTCTTGGTGCACAGACCCGATGAGGACAGTTAATTTCCTATGCCTACATCTCCACCAAATATTCTGGTGTATTCGCTACACATCTCTTACTACCTCCACACATCTGACAAGTCACTACACTCCACATCTGTTTTTCTTTGCCTTATGTTTGCTTGTTGTCTGGTCCGATGAGGGTAATTTTCATAGCCATTTCTTTCAGCCATAAAAAAATCATTCTCATCGAGGACTCTTTTTTTTTCGGGGGGGAGGGGAGGGTTTTTTGGTCGTCCTTGACTTTCACCGGATACAATCGTTCGTCCTCGTGAGATTGTGGTTTCGAAAATGATAATGTTTTAATTGATTATATATATTTTTTTTCTCATTTATTCAGATAACTGCACATGGGCACTCCCAGTGATATTGCAGTTGTTAAACATTACAATCTATATTTTGTCATGTATAAATAAAATATAAATAATAATTTGCAATAAATGGATTTTTTTCATGATTTTAAATAGTAAATGAATAAAATATGTATAAAATTCTGAATGCATTATTTTTATTTAATTTTAGTGGCCGCCGTGGCCGGGTGGTAACGCACGAAACTTTGATTCATGAGGTCGTCGGTTCAAGACCCACCGCGGTCGAAGATTAGAAAGGGCATTCACTCAGGGTAACGGTCGCACTGCCAAAACGGTGCCTTCGCAATAAGGCACCGTCCAAGCCCTTAGCAGAAGAGGGAGTCCGTGACTTAAAACCGGATCAATATAATGGATGCATTAAATTATAGCCGTAATCAATATCTGATATAAATATAGCCTATCCCTTAGCAGAAGAGGGAGTCCGTGACTTAAAACCAGACCAAAATAATGGTTGCTTTAAATTATAGCAATAATCAATATCTGATATAAATATAGTCGAAAAAGTTATGCAAAGAAAGTATTTGTATGTCAGAGAGACTTCCAAAGCACCAATGGTCCCATGATCAGTTATTTATTTAATGAAAGAATATAACCATTTCTGGGTTAATGAATGGGGAAATGATTAAAAAACATTTTCCTCCTGTTCAGCTCCACCCCCACTTAACCTAATAAGAGTAGTGCCATTAGTCGCAAGTACTTTATTAGCCTTGTCTGGCACCGCAGTGCCACCCCGTACTTCCCTTTATTAAAAGGGGACTCGCCTACTCAATGGTATACGTGCTCTTAGGTCATATAATAATGAAACCAAAGATCACAGTAGCTCTCTCTCTCTCTCTCTCTCTCTCTCTCTCTCTCTCTCTCTCTCTCTCTCTCTCTCTCTCTCATGTAATAAAAACAAAGATCACAGTATCTCTCTCTCTCTCTCTCTCTCTCTCTCTCTCTCTCTCTCTCTCCAGTGTAATTACGTGACATAAATGCTTTGTGCACTTCATTTGATTATATGCAAGTAGGAATGTTATGGTGGTGTTATTTTATGCTTACGAGAGAAGCGACGCAGGTTGTTTAAGAGCCGGGAGGTTCGGCTGTGGCACTCCAGCAGTGCCATCTGAACGGTCGCTAGCTCCCTCGTCATTGCCCATAGAGCAAAGTAATCCCCTTATTGTTTTCTTCTTTGATGTCGGCTACCTCCCAATTGGGTGAGACAGCCAAGGTAGATAGATAGATAGAAATATGTTTAATAATGTGTTACATATAATTACTACTTGTAAAAAAAAATTTATAATGTGCCTTAGCGAGGCAGAGACTTTCAATTGATGCAGTGTTTTTCCTTAGCATTTACTACATTTGCCAGAACCAAAATCTCTCTCAAGAAGGCACCGTCTTAGCCCTTAGAAGAATGGGACTCCGTGACGTAAAACCGATTATTTTTTTTTTCATTTATTTATTCAGATAACTGTACATGGGTCATGTGCACATGGGCATTCCCAGTGATATTGCAGTTGCTAAATATTACAGTCTATTTGTTTATGTACAAATAAGATATCAATAGAATTTGCAATTCATTTTAAATATCATACCAAAGTAATTAAGAATAAAATATAATGTAGTAATTGATTGATGGCTACAGAGTGAAGCTGAGTTTTATATTTATTAAGGGAAAAAAATATGAAAAAAAAAATAAAACAGAAGACTCGTGTTTTTAAATTAACTTTAAAGTCAATAAAATTATATATGGCATTATGTTATGCAAGAGAAATTTTTTAAAAGTAATAAATTATTTAAATTAGGAAATTTCACTTTATTGTTGCATTATTGGGTCTTTTTTTTATTTTTATTTATGATTCTTACTCTCTAAAAGTTTTTTTCCCTCACGTATATATATTTTTTAATGTTATGTATTCCGTGCACAGACTTGGGTTTTTGAGATGAGTTTTTCTTAGTTTTTTCTTCATAGTCATTGCTAGTTATCTCGTTTTGTAAAAGTTACAATTATTCGCTATTTCTCTCTCTCTCTCTCTCTCTCTCTCTCTCTCTCTCTCTCTCTCTCTCTCTCTCTCTCTCTCTCTCTCTCTCTCTCTCTCTCTATATATATATATATATATATATATATATATATATATATATATATATATATATATATATATATATATATATATATATATATATATATATATATATGCTCGCACACACACACACACACACATACACACACACACACACACTCGCGCGCGCTCACACACAAAATGAAACCGTGATGATAACAATACCATTATCCAAAAAATAACTTTTTTGAACTCCAAGGAAATCGAACTAGCATCGCAAGTTACAAATTCGTGCGACTTTAACCGACTTAGCTACTACCGCAAACAAAAGCTATGCATATCATAGCAGACCCAGCACATGTATGTACGTGTATTTATAAACACACACAAACGCACATAATCTATTATATGTGTATATTTGGTAGCTATATCAGGCATGAGTTGATCTATTAATTGCTCCAAAAGGGTGGGAAAAGTTGTTTTCTTTGCGTGTTCAGAGGAAGGACAAAAAGGACACTTGAGAGCCAACGGAAACGAGGCCGGGGATGAGGATGGGCGAGGAGAGAAATAAATAAATAGGAACCACTTGTAAACTGAGAGGAACAGTTGTTGTTGTTGTAGCTGCTGTTGTGAAAGTTCCCACTTGTAAAATCCCCTTTCATTTGGAGAGAGAGAGAGAGAGAGAGAGAGAGAGAGAGAGAGAGAGAGAGAGAGGCTTGTAAAAGACTCTCTCACTTGGAAAGAGATAGATAGCTAGATAGATAAAGAGAGAGAGAGAGAGAGAGAGAGAGAGAGAGAGAGAGTATGTGTGGCTTGTAAAAGCCTCTCTCACTTGAAAAGAGATAGATAGCTAGATAAATAAAGATAGAAAGAGAGAGAGAGAGACTCGTAAAATCATCTCTCATTTGGAAAGAGATAGATAGATATATAGATATACAGTAGATAGAAAGAGACTCGTAAAATCCTCTCTCTTGGAAAGAAATAGATATAGATAAAAAGAAAGAAATAGATGAGAGAGAGAGAGAGAGAGAGAGAGAGAGAGAGAGAGAGAGAGAGAGAGAGAGAGAGAGAGAGAGAGAGAGAGAGAGAGAGAGAGAGAGATTATCCTCCGTAAATTATGACCTCAAAGGCAGCGAAAGAACAAAGCAGGTTCTTGTCAAGGCACCTGATTATCGTGGGAGATTGTTTTTGTTCTTGTTGTTGTTGTTGTTGTTCTTGCTTCATGCTGGATGCTGCTGTTTGAAAAGAAAAAAAATGTGACTTATCTCGTTCTTGCTTATTTTCTTCATATTCTTACTTTTTTTTCCATTTTAGCAAATAATTGTGTTTAGTTGACTAGTCTTCCGAAACTTGATGTGGTCTTGTAATGTTTCAGTAATTTAGTAATACATAAAGTTTTGATGTTTTCACGATCATGTGTTTGTTTGTTTGTTTCATGTGCATCTTTTTAATGTCATTAGATTATGATTTTGTGTGAATTCTGGTTATTTAGGTTAGTAAGGGCATATACTCAGGGTAACGATTACATCTGCCAAAACAAATCCTTCGCCAGAAGGCAGGTGCATTTAATTATTTATTATTAATTATGATATTTTAAATTAATTGCAAATTCTATTAGTATGTTATTTTTACATAACCACATAGATTGTAATGTTTATCAACTACAATATGACTGGGAGTGCCCATGTGCACATGTCCCCATGTACAGTTATCTGAATAAATAAAAAAAAAAAAATGTCCTAGCCCTTAGTAGAAAAGGGAGTTCGTGACGTAAAACCGAAACCTTGGTTATAATATAATCTCTTACTATCCTCACATATGTCCAGTCACAACGCTTCCTTTGTGTTACGATTGTCTGCCAAGACCATGAGAGTTTCATAAGCTTTTATGCGAAGTCGCCTAAATACTTGGGCCGCTTCGCCTTGATTATAAGGATTTTTTTTTTTATTAATCTAATAACTATACATGAGGACATGTGCACATTGGCACTCCCAGTGATATTGTAGTTAAACATTACAATCTATATTTGGTCATGTACAAATCAAATATTAATAGAATTTGCAATTCATTTTAAATATCATAGCAAGAAATTGATACTTGGCCTGAATTTCTGCCCTTCTTCTCTCTACTCTAGTCCTTTACCTTTATCATCTCTTTTTTTTTACTTTTATTTATTATTGTTTTTCTCCTCTTCTCTCTTTAGTCTTCTGTTTTACGCGCTATCTCCCTTGTCATTTTGTAATTATTACTTTATTTATCTCTTTTCTTTTATTTCTACTTATCTTGTAATTCAAATCGAAGTAACATTATTATTATCATATATGGATAGATTTTTAAACAAAACAACGAAGGTCCGTGTTAGCACAGTGGTAAAGTGCGCGAGTCGGAGGTGAATAACTAGGTTCGATCCAACCCCAGAACGATAGGAAGGTCATCTAGCCTTAAATCCCCAGCTCTAACTTGTGTGTCCACCCCCATGCGAATGGGGTGCTTACCTTTAAGAATTTGAACAGTTATTAATCCCATTCAGCTTTCACCTGTTTGAGTTTTTGATCTATTGTATTAGCATTTATGTAAATTCTGCAATGCTGAGAATGCGGATGTGTGTGTGTGCAATTAGTTTGCGGGTGTGTGTGTGCAATTAATTAATACTTTCTACCCGTTGGTATTATGTTTCTTGTTATTTTACTTGCAACCAGAACTGCAACATTTCATCTGGCCTTGTCAGCCTCATGTCATTCACATTCGTCTCATTCGCAATACTATTGATGGGGATCCGTTGTCTCCATGGCAATTGAGCCTTCTATGGGGCGTTAGGAAGGACATCCAGCCTCTGGCTAGTACAGTGGTCACGCGCTGGTTTCGCGGTTACGAGGTCGAGAGATTGGTTCCCGTCTAAGACCGAGAGTTCAAGCTGTTTAGTGGGGAGGTTACTGCTGTGGCTGGGCACCACAGTGGGAGTTTGGGTCTGCCCCGGCTGACGAATACCCATTGTATAATGGAAATAAAGGTTTATTTATATTTAATTTCACAGCTCCAAATGAAGATTTATAGTGTCATAAAACGGCAAACAGAATTTTATGTAGATTGACATGTCTCGCATTACTTCTTCTGGATTTCAATTTTAAACTTGACCTGTTGTTGACCTCTAAACTTGACCTGTTGTTGACCTCATTTAAGCGA